AAAAAGGAAATACAAGTGGCCAACAGGCACATGAAAAGATGCTCTACATCACTAATCATTAGGGAAATGCAAATTAAAACCACACTGAGATATCACTTCACACTAGTTAGGATAGCTACCGTCCAAAAGACAAGGAACAACAAATGCTGGCGAGGATGCGGAGAAAGGGGAACCCTCCTACTCTGTTGGTGGGAATGTAAATTGGTGCAACCATTGTGGAAAGCAATATGGAGGTTCCTCAAAAAACTAAAAATAGAAATACCATTTGACCCAGTAAGTCCACTCCTAGGAATTGACCTGAAGAAAACAAAATCCCTGATTTGAAAAGACACATGCACCCCTATGTTTATTGCTGCACTATCTGCAATAGCCAAGATATGGAAGCAACTTAAGTGTCCATATGTGGTACATACACACAATGGGATACTATTCAGCCATAAAAACAAAAGAAATCCTGCCATTTGCAACAACATGGATGTATCTAGAGGGTATTATGCTCAGTGAAATAAGCCAGGTGGAGAAAGACAAATACCAAATGATTTCACTTATTTGTGGAGTATAAAAACAAAGCAAAACAGAAGGAACAAAACAGCAATAGACTCACAGACACCAAGAAGGGGCTGGTGGTTAACGAGGGGGACAGGGTTGGAGAGGGTAAGGGAGAGGGAGAAGGGGATAAAGGGGCACAATAATTCACAATCACAATATAAGCTGGTGAAGGGGACAGTAGTACAGCATGGAGAATACAATGAATGATTCTGTAACTTCTTAGTACATTGATAGATAGTGACCGCACTAGAGAGGATGAGGATTTAATAATATGGGTAATTGTTGAACCACTGTGCTGTATATTTGAAATCAACATAAGATTCTATATCAATGATACTTTAATTTTTAAAAAAGTTACGTTCAATGAACAAATAAGTGCTTAAAATTATTTTTCTCTAGGACAGATCTTGTAAAATGAAGGTGCTCCTTTTACATCTGCTAGCCTAGAAATGATGGCACATGGTAGAGTTGAGGCCCCAGCCTCTGCAGGGGACCCTGCAAAGGGAAGAATGGGGCCACCGGTTTTCCCCAGAGGCCACAGCTCTGGCAAAGAGACTGAGAGCCGTGTGTGCAGTTGAATGGAGAGGGGCTGGACAGAGGGAATATTAATGACTCAGATGAATGAGAAGCCAAGAGCTTCCCAGTAGCTTGGCCTCTGTCCGGCGGTGTCCCAGCACGCTCAGGTCCGGGGCTCAGCTTCAGCAGCTTGAGGGAGGTCTGGCAGCTTCATGAGGGAGGAGAACTACCAGCTGCCGGGTGTCTGGGGGACTCTGACGGGCTTCACCTGAGAACTCCGTTTTCTTAGAAACATAGTCCCATAGAGTTCCAGGGTCTCTGGAGTAGCAACAGCCCAAGTTGGGGGCAGAATGGCTAGAGGATGGAGAGAAAGGACTCGAACCTTTCTAGCTATATATCCTGGGCCAGTGACTTCACCTCTCTGTGGCTTTATCTCTAAACCAGGATATAACAGTGCCTGTCCTGAAGACCTATAGTTGGGAGAAAAGGAGTTCATCTAGAAAGCACTCAGAAACACCTGGGCATGTGTACGTGCGCTGCGCAGGCCATCTGTCATCACTGGCATCAAGTCATGAGACACCAGGGGTGGCGGAACACTCAGAAATCGCCCCCGGCAGTGTTGCTAAACTGCTGTGTTCCTTCTGGCCGCCAAAGATTCCAAGAGATGCCTAAGGCTGTGTTGCAAGGTGAGACGGGGAGGAAGAGTTGGCTGCCTGACGCCCCTCGTCCTCCTCCTTTCCTGTTTCAACCAGGTCCTCTCTTTGCTGTCTCGTAGGGTCACATATGATAAGCAGGGTGTTATGGTATGAGTTAATACTTAAAATCAAAGTCTCAATAGAAAATGCCTTTAAAAACCTGTTAAAAGCCTCATAAAACACAGGAGGCTCACCTGTGTGTATACAACTCTGCATAAATAATTCTTAGGTAGAGAGAACCAGTGAATTTGATTAAAGGAAAGGAAAAAGAGAAGGCTTCATGCACATGTATGACCACTCAAACTATTGTACTGCTTACAAGCTGTGGGACATTGGGCAGTTAATGAACATCTCTGTTCCCTGATTTCTTCAAGGGGTTGTGGTAAGGATTAAATGAGTGCACACAAAAACAATTCCTGTACATAGTAAGCACCAAATATGATTTATTATTATTTATTTAATTTAGCAAACAATATAGTGTTTACTCAGTGCTGGGCTCTCTTTTAAGTACTTTGCTAAAATTAACTTATTTAATCTCCATAACAACCCCTTGAAGTAAGTAGTATAATTATCTCCACTTTTATGGTGGAGGAAACTGAGGTACAAACAGGTTGTGATTTGCCCAGAAAAGTGAAATAAGTTGCCCGAGGGTTAGAATTATGAGCTGAGAATCCAGCTGTTACTTCCTTAGGCTCTCTCTCCAATAAAATGATGTGATAATGATAAGAATTAGAATAAGAATAATGATTTTCCAGTAGAAAATGTGGGATGGGGAGAGAATACACGTTTTCACTTGCCTACATGGTTAACTCCACTCTGATCTGATATCAAGCTCCTGTAGCTTCAATATATTTGAAGGTAAGTTTGTTGTGGTGGAGAGTAAATGGGAGATACATGGAGGTGCTACAGTAAGACCACTTTTTATCCATGAGATAGTAAAATTATAATACAATAAAAGTAGTGAGGTTGATAGGGTTCCTGGGTTCAGCACCTGGTATGTATCAGTTCTCTGCTAGGCACTTCCCATGCATTCATTTCCATGTTATCAATCCTCAAGACAGCCTATTGTATAGGTCATGCCCAGCAAACATTTATTGAACACATTATGTAGCATATGTTCTCAACAAAAAGTGGTGGATAAGGCAACTATGATCTCTGCCCACATGGAGTTTACACTCTAGTAAGAGAGACACCAATAAACAAACAAATAAACAGGATAATTTGGGGGGTAGATATGGTATAAAGGAAATAAACAGGGTGATAATAAAGGGAGTGACTATGGGGGAAGGCTACTTTAGATATGGTGGCTGGGGAAGGCTGCTCTGAATTGGTGACCTTGGAGCTGAGACCTGAATGGTGAGGACTCCGAGATCTCAGGGAAGAGCATTAGACAGAGAGAAAGCAGATGCAAAGGTCCTGGGGTGCAAATGAGTCTAGTGTGGCTGAGGAATGTTATGGGGCCAGTGGAAGTGGAGGAGAACCAAGGAGGGGAGAGGTAGGAGCTGACATCATGGAGGTAGGCAGCGGCCAGGCCATGCAGGGCCTTGCATGTAGGCCAAGTAAAGCCTTCAGACTAAAGTCTAAATATATGGGGAGTCATGGGCAGCAAGAGAAAACTGCAGTGAGGACACTAAGTGGATTTAAGCAAGTTCCCCAGCCTCAGAGCAAGTACTGGGGTCTGCTTCCAGCCCTTCGGAACCAGCACTTGGGAGTCCACACATCCAGGCTCACCCTAATCCCCATCCAAGGACCTCCAAGCCCCAGGAGGTCTGGCTGTGGCTTGGTCAGGGCCTAGGACGCAGGATGTGCCACGAGCACTCTGGTCCATCCTGGGGCACAATACCCTGCCTGGGTAGGAGATGGTACCAGCAGGGCTTGAGGGGAGGGGGCAGCAGCTACACAAAACCTTTGTTGAGCAGAAACACTGGTGGCTCTGCCCAGGGCCAGGCCAGGAGCCAGACTCGTCTCCCAGCATGCTCAGCAGCCCTGCAGTCCAGACCCCACTGAGAGGCAGGCTTTTTCCACTATGCTCTGAGTTCAGGGAAGTATCTGTGGTGTGGAGACATCTCCTCCCGTCCCAGCCTCAGAGTGTAAATGGAACCATTCTCACTGAGTTGCTCAGGGTAAGAACTTCCATGTCATCCTTGATTTTAATGTCACCTTTTCCCCGCCGACGTAACAACTAACTATGTCTGGCTGTGTTCTAAGTTCTCCACATATACTGACTCATTTAATAATTGTAACAAGTTTATGAGATGGGCACCATTATTACTCCCATTTTACAGATGAGGAAACCAAGGCACACAGATATGAAGTGGAAGATCTCCAACACCAGCCCAGACAGTCTGGCTCCAGAGCCCTTGCTTTCTACCAGTGCATTGCATGGCCTCAAGAGCTACCTATGAACTGTGTTACCTAGAATGTCACTTAACCTCCCTGGTGCTCAGGATTCCTCAAATGGAGAAAAAAACAGCACATTTGCACCTTTTGAAGTCTGTACCATTGTAGATGTGTTATTTGTCAGAAAAAAAAAGAGTAAATAAAAATATATTTCATAAGGAAGAGTCGAGAACATGAATGTGGTACCCAGCTCCCCTTCAGTGAAGGTCTTGTGGAGTTGCGCAGGGTCGTGGCTTAGCACCCTGGGCTCTGGAGGCCTTGCTGCCCCTGCACAGGAACTAGTTCATATTAATAACATCTAACATTTATATCGGAGGGGTTAAGAGCATAGGCTCTAGAGCCAAACTACCTGGCTTCTAATCTTCAGTACATGCTGTGTAACCTTAGGCAAGTTACTTTACTTCTCTGTGCCTCAGTTTCCTAATCTATAGAATGGGGATAATAATAGCATCTACCTCTTAGCTTTTTGGGCAGGTTAAGTGAGTTAACATGTGTAAAAGCAGGCCAAACAGTGCCTGGCACAGGGTAAGCACAGTATGGTGTTATTCCCCTGTGCACACAGAACCCTTGCTTGAGTCATGATGTTTTTAGCAGCAGTATTAGTGTTACGTTCATCATGAGCATCTTGAGGGCCCAGAGCATGCCTTACCCCTCTCCCTCTCCTCAGGAGGTGCTGAGTATGGAGCTCAGTGGGGGGAACTGTGATCATCTCCATCTGGCAGATGAGGGACCTGGTGGTGCCTGCAGAGTCTGTGTCTGCCCCCTCAGACCCTGAGCCTGCAGCTGGGACTGGGGCTCGTGCACACCTCCCCGGGCCTGTGGGCCCCCTGCTGATCTTACCTCACAGCCTTTGGCCATGGCGAAGCCCCCTCCCAGGAGAAGGATGATGTTCCAGGGCACCATGTCCTGGGCTTTCTTCCACGTCAGCAAGGGCTCTGTCTCTGTGTTGGGAGCTGGGTGGGAAGAAGACACCCAGCCTGAGAAGGGGACACCTGTCCCTCTGGGTAGAGAGGGAGACCCACGCACACTCAGGGCACTCAGCCTGAGGAGGGATCACCAGCCCCCATAGTCCCATCTCTGTGGGAACACTGGCGGGGTCGGGGTAGGGGTCTTCAGGAAGCCACAGTCTAGCTCCAGCACCTGACCTTGTAGCATTAGGGATTAAAATCCACACGCAGCATGATGGGGTGTCTGCTGTACTCAGAATCAAAGTAACTGTCACGGCTCCCACAGCTTGAGAATCTCCCTAACCGCATTCTACATGCAGGACACCCTTTAACCCTCACGACTGCTCTTGGGGTAAATGCTACTTTCACCATCGTTTACAGGGGAAAAGGCTCTTTATGTCATTGAATGTGTACAAAGAGGAAAAAAAGAAGAAGGAAACTCGGGAAAAGAGAAATTAAGGGTATCTTAGGCTCATGGGATTATGGGATGGTTTTTATTTCCTCCAAAGCAGCAGTGGTTAGAATGGGGTGTCAACAAACTTTTCCTGTACAGGGTCAGAGGGTGGATAATTCCAGCTTTGTGGCCTCTGTTGCAACTGGGCTACCACTGTAGCATGAAAGGAGCCATAGACAAAACCTACGGGAATGGGCCGACCACGTGGGGCAGTACTCCCTCAAAAGCCTATTCACAAGGCAGTGGCGGGGACGGGCCAGAACTGGCCCCCCTGCACTGGCAGCACAGGCCTGGGGACACACCCTCCTGGACCTTGGCTCACTGCATGTCCCCTTTCCTCAAAGGACACACACATGGCACAGTAGTAGTACTGGGTGGGTCCTAGTGGGCCCTGAGGCAATGATGGAGCAGCTGGGGAAGAGGGACATTTCTGGTTAGGTAATGGCTGTATCCCAGAGTCACTGCCTGGTCCCTGGTGTTCACTCCATAAATACCTTCCAACTAATTACATGGCAGGCTAAGCCCAATGCCTGGTGCAGAGTGAACACTCTTGAAAGGGAGCTTTTCCTTGCAGGCTGCCAGGGAGGCAGGGAGTTCAAGTGTGGCCACTTACGGCAGTTCCCCACCTCCCAGGACAATTCCTGGTCATGCCGCCATTGATATTTTGTTTCTCCTTTTCAGCTTTTTTCCACATTGTACACAGTGGTTATCTAAAATGAAAGTTTATAGTCAGGAAAAAAAGGCAATGAAAGTAACTTAATAAAGTCCCTCTGCTAGTTAGCATGCAGTCCATAGGTGTATACATGCAGTTCAGAGGCTACACACTGCAGAGGGATTCTTGGGTCAAATGCAACATTACAATTAAGCCCAGAACTGGAAGAGGTTGCTGGAGATGTCAGGTGGTCCAGCCCTCTCTGCCTTTAGGTGGTAAAATATATGTCATTAAAGAGGCAGCCAAGGTCTGAAAAAGTAGTTAAGGGTGGGGCGAGGAGGGAGGAGGCCCTGACCTTGGGTATAATACAGTGCACATTAAATGAGTTAATAGTGAGTGCTTATGCGGCTGCCTGGAAGCACTCAATTAACCTTAGCTGTTCCTCTCTTTATTATTTTCCCATCCAGCCATGCTCTTGATGGTATTTCCTACAAATGCAATGTCTATGTGAATTTCTCACTTCTGGCTCTACTTTATGCCTGCCAGCTGCCTAGAGTAGTGGCTCAAAGCACAGGCTTTGAAGATGCACCAGATTTGAATCCTAGCTCTGCTGTTCAGCTACTGACTTGGGCTAGTGACTCCCTCTCTGAGTCTCAGTGTCCTCATCTGCAAAAGGGAGCAATGGCACCTCCTCAGAGTCCTGCTGGGAAGGCAAAATGGGCCCATGTGTGCAAAGGGCTCAGCCCAGGGCTTGGTCCAGAGCAAGTCCTGAGTCCTTCATTTAACAGATACTGACCTACCAGGTATCAAGCACTCCTCTAAGCACTGGGGATTCAGATGTGGCCAAAGCAGAAAAAATATCCCTCCCCTTGGAGAACTTACATCCCAGGAAGGGAGGCAGGTGATAAACCACTAATTATATAATGTCAGGAAATTTTGTGTGCTATAAAGAGAAACAAAAGAGGGTAAAGGGGTGGAGAGTGCCAAAGGAGGGGTGCTTTTCTAGACACTGTAGTCAGGGAAGGGTTCTGGGTGGGGAGGGGACATTTGGACGGAGTCTGAATGGAGGGAATGGAGTGAGCCATGTGTGATCTGGAGGAAGAGTTGGGGAAATGGAAGCAATCATTACCTTCGTCATGCGCAAGCGCAGTGCCTGCACACAGTAGGTACTGCATCAGTATTTGCTGAATGACCGTAAAGGGAGGGAAATGCAAGTGCAACTCAGACCCACATAAGAATGGAAGACAGTGGGTATGATAAGGAAACTAAGGTTGGCTTGGATGCCCGGGTCCCACATCCTATCTCTTTTTAACTAGCTGGGTGGGTTTGATCAAGTCACTTTCTCTCCATGGAAACGACTCTGTAAGGCCCCATTTTAAGTCCTGAGTGCTGAGTACCTGAGAGTGTTATTTCAGCTGGACGTGCACAGGCCCGCAAAGGACAGGCAGTGCCCGTGAGCCTCCCCTCCCCACCCACCAGGCGGCCCTGGAAGCTCCAGCTCAAAGAATGCTCAGCCGAAGTGGCCTGCTAACCCCCATGGACCAGACCCGGCACACCCATGGGTTTTACCCTACTGCTGTTGGCCCACATAGTATTTGGTTTTTGGTTCAATTTAGTTACCAATATTTAGAATCAGGGAGAGTTCATGAAATTCCACATTTGTTGCTGCTTTTGAAAAATCAAGTTTGGCAAAAAACTAGTCCTGCTTTTCTGCGTGGTGACAATCAATGAAAACCGAGCAAAAGCTGCCCCCTTTATTGGAGCCTTGGTTTGCCAGTTTTCTACAGACCCCACTGTACCCCATCACTGAGAGTCTTGCCACTTATTACCATCCATGGCTGCTGTTTTCCTTATAATACAGAAACACTTCTCTGTTTCAAAAATGTGAAAAGAAAGATGGACAGGCCGAGGGAGGGCCGTGCTTCATGAAACTCATTTCCTGCACCCCATCAGCTGTGTGCATAGAGGTACCTCCCTGCAGGCTTTTGAGTCTGCAGCCCCTGTTCTAGAGGACTACTAAAGCCAAGGGACCCACTCACTTTTTAAATAGAAAAGCAAGGCCCAGAGAATACAGGAATTTACTCAAGGTCACCCCGCAAATTAGTAACAGAGCCGGGATGCCAGACTATGTCACAGCCCTGCCCACAGCCCTGGCCGAGAGGAAGCTCAGGACCTTACGAGCCCACCCACAGGTGACAGGAGCATGGGTGGGGCTGATCAAGGCAGCCAGTCCACAGGCTGGCCAGGAATCTAGGAGGCTGCAAGGAACCCCGGAGGGGGAAGACCTCCCCCCAAAGAAGAACAAGCTGGACCAACCCTATTTTTATTCTCAGAAGCATCTTTGGGAAGGAGAGAACTGACTGAAGAGTAGTGATAACTAAAATTGAAAAAGCAGACAGAGAGGCCATATGATCTAGGAGGGCCGTGAGTGGGCTGGGGTCCTGTGAGGAAAAAGAAATTCTGAGGAAACAGGACTAGGAGGAAGCAAAACTGTGAGGAAGCAAAGGCCATGAGGAGGCGGCAGAAGCTCTGGGGCGGAGACAGGCACCAGGAAGGAGTGCGCTGTGTAGCTGAGGAGGAGCTCTGAGGAGGCAGGAGGTGCCAAGGGACCGGAGAAGGGGAGCTGCGGAGTGGCAGTACCAGGGAGGGGACGCTAGGAGGCGCCAGGAGTTACAGAAAGCAGGAATATCGTGAAGCAGAAGCTGTAAGGATGCACAAGCTAAGAAGCAGTAGAAACTATGCACAGACCAAGAAATGGTCCGCGGAGCAGATGACGAGGAAAGGCTGCTGGAAGCGAGCGGAAAAGCAGAGCTGGAGGGAATAATTGAACCTGTCAACTGTGGGCTCCCAAAGCCCACAGCTCTGCCTCCTGGGACCCAGTGCCCACCTGTGAGGGACCCCTCAGCTGTCATAACTGTTTAAGGGCCCCTGGGAAACCGTCTTCTTGCTGATCCTTACAGTGCTCCCCGCACTCAAACCCCCCTCTAGCCAGCCCACCTACTACTTGATTTCTTTCCAATAGTAGAAAGTAGATTATGACCCTATTTCCCGACTCCTGGTATGGGGCTCATCCCCCTGCCCCAGATGGAGCTCTGCCAGGGCAGCCTCGGTCCCAGGTGGCAGGTGCTGGCACCTCCTCTGGTAGACACCTGCTGGAACCCCCATGGGGTCACAAAGTGGCCATCTGGGGGCCAGCCTACAGATGTTCTGGCTAGGAGGACTCGGTGGTCATTTTAAACTGAATTTGAATGCCTTTAGACAGCTTTGCCTTAGTTCTCAACCATGTCCTATTCATTTAAGCCCAGTTTGAGATTTTCATGTCTGACATCTTAGGGTTGCCAGCTCCTGCCTTGGGATAAGGGGTAGTAAAGCTTTTCTGTAAAAGGTCAGAAAGTAAATATTTCCAGTTATGGTGAGCCAGGAGGCAAAATCAGAACTATTATGTAGGAACTTACACAACTTAAGAAATAAATGTTCACAAATTTCTTAGTGAAGAAATTAAAAACTTTATTTATGGACACTGAAATTTGAATTTCATATAATATTCATGTGTCACAAAAATTTTTTTTTCAATCATTTAAAAATATGAAAGTCATTCTTAGTTCATAGGCTGTACAAAAATGGACAGCTGGCTGTGTTTGGCTAGTGAACTATGGCCGCTAACCCTTGCCCTGGACTGTCAGCCTTAAGCGTCCAGACCAGGAACTGCTCAGACAGGGAAACGGGAAGCAGAAGGGCCACATGGTTAGTACATTGGGGCAGTCAAGTCCCAGGTGTATGACCCGCCCCAGGCCACTGATTATCATGCTGGAGGCCACAGTCCTCACTGAGCCCACAGTGACCCCAGCCTTGACCACCTTACCTTTAAAGTCAAACCACCACTTGAGAGAAGGCTTTTGAGATGGGAAGAAGAACAAGATGGTAACAATGGCCACACCGGTGACAGCATCAGAAAGAAACCTACAATGACAAGGCCCCAAAGCATGTGACCTCAGGCATCTCAGCAGGCCAAAGTCTGGCAGATTTGCAAATAAGGATTTGTGCAGGGAATTAGGCCTGCTGCGAAGACAACATTGCCGGCAGCCCCTGGATTCTGCCCCGCACTGCACTCAGTACGGATCCAACTGCCCATGGATGTAAAAACCTTCAATCCACAGCTCCCTGGGGTGTTTAGATGCTAGTTGAGCCAAACAAATGCTTATCCTCCCCATTCAAGGACCACAGAAAGAGGGACTTGACCAAAGGGGTAAGAATCTGAAAGCCACAAAATATTAGGGTCTGCAGAGCCCACAAGAGTCACCAAAACTGAGGCTCCTCTGAGAGCCTTGTGTGTGTATGTATGTATACATATATATACATATGCGTGTATGTATCTGACATATTACACACCAAATTGTTAATTGTGATCATCTCTGGGAGTGGGACTTTTTAAATGTGGCTACTAAAAAATTAAAAACTACGTATGTGATTCACATTACATATTCTATCGGATGGCATTGATGGCAATCAGATTTCACCAAACCCAGAGGACATGTCCCCCATCTAATCATGTTCTAACTGACACTGGAATCGGACATGGTTGCCCCCTTACTCTTAAAACACTCCCCTCTCTTGGCCTTTGCTAGTCTTTTGCTCCTGGTTTTCTGCCTATCTCATTGACTGCTTTTTCTCCATTTCTCTAATGGGCTCATTCTCTTCTACCCAGCTCCTAAATGTGGGGATTCCTTAGAGTCCTCTTTGCTCCCCCTTTACTCTTTCCCTAACCGAGCCCATCAATTCCTATGGATTTAAATTCCAAATCTATACAATGACTCCCAGACTTATATCTGTAACCTAACACCACCTCTGAGCGCCACGCTTGCGCATCCAACTGCCCATTACAGTATTTGGAAGACATGTTAGACTTGATAAGTCGAAACCATGTTCAAAATGGAATTGTTAAACCATACCCAACCCCCTGAAGAATGCTTTTCTTCAGCTAGCCACTATCCATGCAGGTATTCCTTTCCTTTATGCCCCTAAATCCAACCCAGTTAGCAAGTCCTGTCATTTCTAACTTTGAAATACATCTTGACTGTTCCATCTCCAGTGTTACTACTTTCATTCAAGCCATTGAAGTTTTCCCTCTAGACCACAGGTCAGTAAATATCTCCTGTAAAGGACCACACAGTACATTTTTTTGTAGGCCATATGGTCTCTGCTCCGACTCAACTTTGATGTTGCAGTGGGAAAGTGGTCACAGACAACGCACAGATGAACAGGTATGACTGTGTTCCAATAAAACTTTATTTGTAGACAATGACATTTGAATTTCATTTAATTTTCATGTGCCACAAACATTATTTGTTCTTTGATGTCTCCCTAGCCATTCAAAAATGTAAAAGCTATTCAAAAACAAGTATCAAGCAGGATTTGGCCCATGAGCCTTGGTTTGCTGACCCTTGTTCTAGATGACAGGGGTCATCCAGATGTGTTACAGCTCCTAACTATTCTCCCTACTTAAATTTTTGCCCCCACTATCCATTCCCTAATAAATACAGCAAATAGTTTATTGAGTTCTTTCTAATGTGCCATTCAAATCACTTGACTTGTGTTAACACACTTATCCTCAGAATAATCCAATGAGAAGTATACTATTACAATAGCATTTTATGAGGAAACTGAGGCACAGAAAGGTTAAGTAACTTAACCTCCACATAAAGACCAAGATGCTTAATGCATCTGACAAGACCCTCCATGATCTGGCCCTCACCTGCCCTTCCAGCCCCATCTTGCCCGCTGTCCTCCCTCCCCGCCTGGCCTTGGTCACACTGGAAGAATCTTTCAGTTCTTCAAATGTGCTAAGGGGGCTCCTAACATCAGGACCTCAGGAGACGCTTCCGGTGCATCCTCAGTTCCCACCTCCCCCCTTCCCAGCCTTTGCTCCCTCCCCAAGCTACCCCAGTCAGTGCCCCCACTCCACTCATTTCTTGTTCAGCCTCTCAATTTCCCTGCATTGCACTTGTCACAATTTACAGCTATTTTGTTGTCCAACTACTTGTTTTTGACTGTGTCCCCAGCATCTAGCATAACACTTTGCACAGAGGCACTCAATGTTGATTACTTGAGTGAGGGACTGAATGAATGAAGGAATGATGTGCTCAGGGTTGTGCAGTTTGTAGGTGGCAGAGCTGGCATTCAGACTTAGCTTTGTCTGATTCCAAAGCCAAAGCTCTTAACATGAGAAGCCAAATGTTTTGTCATCTAAACCTAACCTCTTCTGAGAGTACAAGAAGGAGCTGTTAATAATTACAGGGGACATGAGGTGCAAACCTAGCCCCGGTCTCCCCAGCCTCTCTGCCTGTCAAACTCCAGGGGGTGCATCCCAGAATCCTCCCTGTTGGACCCCGCCCTCTGGGTCCCCAGAGTCTCACCCAGGGGTGAAGAAGCTGGCCCAGCCAGGGATGAACTTCGGGTCCCGGGAGAAGAGGAGGATGGCGAACATGCAGAAAAGGACGAAAACGGCCTGTTCGGCAAACCTGTGGCACAGACATGCAGGCACCGCGGTGACTGTGGGCTTCAGGGGAGCGCAGCACGGGAGGGCCTTGGGAACGGGCCACACCACTGGTGGGACTGACTGGGCCAGGGCCCTGCCTCTGAGAAGCTGAGGGAAGTAATTCGCTCCCCAGGAGGTCCCCAGAGCAAGGGAAGACTGTCCACACTCCCCCAGGATCCTTTCTGAGCATCAAATAACCCCCTCTCCCAAACTATTTGTATCATTCCCACCAGGAGTTTCCCAGAGTCCTAGGGAGAGAAAGAAAGAGCAAAAGAAAAGCAGAGTCAGAAAAGCAGAGAGAAAGGAAACAGCCAGACAGCAATAGAGAGGTAGGCAGAGAGAGAGAGAAAGAGAGAGGAACAATCATACATACAGACGAAGACAGATATACACACAAGGGGACAGACAGACACAAGGAGAAGGGCAGGCACAGAAAGGGCACAGACATGGAAGAGGGGTAGCCAGAGAATCCTCAAGTATTGAAGCAAATATCTACCCAACTGCCCATTTCACAGATTGGGAGCAGGGCCCAGACAGGGCAAGTGCCTTGCCCAACCACAGCAGGATTTAGTGGCAGAGCTAGCCCCTGTGTGCAGGCCTGCTTACTCCTAGTTATTTTCACCAGATGGGAAACATACATTAAACAAGGTCCTGGAAGCTGCCCAAGGCCGTGGCAGGTATCCCATGTGCCAGGTGGGAAGGTGGAAGGTCCCCACCCCAAGTTCACCCTGAGGGTCCTCAGAGTATCTAGCCCAGCACCAGAGCAAGAGGCTGACTGCAAGCCACCCCTCTACCCCCCATCTCCAGGCTCCCAGGCCATTGGTCCTGAAATTCCCCTGGGACAGCTTCCAGGGGTATAAAGGTGAGGCCAGGAGGTAGCTCTTCTGAAAGCCCAGTGCCCAGCCCTCTCGCCACCCCCAGAAGCTCTACTTCAACGCACTTGATGGGCCCCAGGTTCTGGAATTCCTCCCGAATCACAGCTCGAGCCCTATCTTCTGCACTAGTTCTGAGCTCAGGTGTCTTTCGCCTCCAGCTCCTGGAACAGAAAGTGGGGATGTTAGGAGCAGCTGCCAGGGTGGATCTGAGAGACTTCCCACCACCACCCTGCTAAGCCTCGTTATCTCCGTTCTGGAGCCCGCAGCAGCCTGCTGCTGAGTGGTCTTCTTCTGCCTCTGTCTTCCCCTTCTAAAATCTGTTCTCCCCACTTAGAACCTGCATGGTCTTTTTAAAATGTGAATCCAATCATATGATTCCCAGGCTTAAAACCCTTTAGGGGGTCAAAAAGGTGCATAAAAAAATAGTTGAGACAATGGAACAAAAGAGAAAGTCCAGAAATAGACTCAATTATAAGTGGGGATTCAGTCTGTGATCAAGTTGGTATTTCAGGCTGGTGTAGAAGAGATGAGCTGTTTAGTCAATAGTGTTGGACATGTAGATCAGTGGGAGGGAAATGAGAGTCCAGAAATAAACCAATACTTTCATAGTCAGCTGATTTTTGACAAGGGTACTAAGATCATTCAATGGCAAAAAGATAGTCTTTCAACAAATGGTGCTGGGACAACAGGACAGCCACATGCAAAAGAATGAATGTGGACCCTAACACACACCATATACAAAATTTAACTCAAAATGGATCAGAGATCTAAATATAAGAGCTAGATTATAAAATTTTTAGAAGAAAATATAAAGGTAAATTTTCATGACCTTGCATTAGGTAACTCTTCAGATATAATGCCAGAAGCCCAAGCAACCCAAGATAGAGAAATTGGACTTCATAAAAATTGAAAACTTTTGTGTGTTAATAAACAGTGTTGGGACAACTGGGTAGGCCTCTGAAACAAAAACGTGAAACTGGATCCAAACTTCACACGGCACCCTAAAGGTAAACTCCAAACAGAGGAAAGACTTAAATGTAAACAGTTTAAAAAATACTAGAAAAAACATGGAATTCTCCTTTTGTCACTCCTATGATGGGAGGATCTTTCTAATGGTAATTGAAAATTCAGAAGCCATATAAAAAAGATTGATAAATTCATCTACAGTGAAATTTTTAAAAATTTTGCATGGAAGAAAAGCACCATAAACAAAGTAAAAAACAAATCAGGAAAAAATATTTTTGACTCATCTTGCAGAATAAGCACTAATCTTTCAATATAAAAAGAGCACACTAGGAATCAATAAGACTAAGACCAACAGTGCATATGAAAATGCACAAAGGATGTACACACACAGATTAACAATTCACAGGGGAGGAAATACCAATTTTTTGGTATTTTCAGGGGTATACAAAAACTTTTCCTATTACTCTAAAGTTGCTCAAAATTACTCTTAATAAAATAAATGCAGATTGTTTTTCTTTTATCAGATTGGCAAAAATCCACTTTGCTGCATGGAAACAGACACTCTCATATGTTGTAGTGGGAAGAACAAATTAGTTTAATTCCTATGGAGAATGACTTGATAATACCCATTAAAATAAAATGTGTTCATTCTCTGACCCAGGAATCCCATCTATGGAAATTTACCTTACCAAAATACCTGTTAATGTACAAAAGGTAGCTGCCAGGGAGACCAGTCACCAGAAAATACACTGTGTCTGTGTGTATTTGCTTAAAGAAACTCTAGATTATCAGAGAAATCAATAAAGTGGATACCCGGTAAATCGGTAAATGAAGGTGTGTTTGAGAAGTCTCACCGCATACCTCTTTGTATTGTTTTGATTTTTTGAACCATGTGTGTGTGTTGCTTATCCAAATTAAATAAGCAAATGAATATTTCAGAAAAAAAACCCACCTCCCAGTGGCTCTTTCATGTGAAGATCAAACAAACTCCTGCAAGACCCTCAATGATGTAGCCCAGAATTTCTCAACCTATGAACATGTCGGGGTGAGCTCATTTTTTTGAGTCGGGGTGGGCTTATTCTTTGTTGGAGGGGTTGACTTGCATACCTGTAGGATGTTCAGCAGTATCCCTGGCCTCTAACCCTTGCCCTGAGCTGCAGGTCCTGTTGTATTATTCCCCAGACTGGAGGCATTCAAACCTACCTTCACCAGTATTCCTGTATCCATGTACCACCCAGCTCATGTTTGCCTAAAATATGTTCCTCCAAATAGACTCATCATTTTAATTAAACAAATGTATTTGAACAGAAAACTTCATATCACTCTCATAAATAGAAAACAAGAATCATTTGTCATAAGTAGAAAATAAACAGAAAAATGAAAGCAAAGCAAGATTATGACATGCTGTTTAGACACCCCTGCTGGCTGAAGTCTCTGAAACTGAGGCTGGCTCTTTGTTTGAAAAGCTGGTTTGGCAATGTCAGAGAGGTGTTCGGGTTTCTCCACCTCCCAAAGGAGACTTTACTGATTCTTTAAGAGTTGTTAAAGGATGATTTCTCTCTCTCTGTGAGTCGATGTTGTTTAATACTTTGTCCTCATGCCACCCCAAATTATCTCCTGTCCTGGGGCCCCATAAAATGGGAGACTACACTTCCTTCTCCTCTGGTATGAGTGTTTACTTAAATGACAATGCCATTAGTAATTATTGATGATGGGTGACATTAACTGAGGGTCTCGGGGGAGCAGGCAGGTCACACAACACCCTCAGTCCTCACGCCCCTGGGAGGTGAAGTCTACCACAGCCACTATGTGAGAAGACAGCAAGAGAATACGACGACAAGCCTCAGTTTCCATAGAAGGAGACTGAGAATCAGGAAGGCCACTCTCCGGGAAGAAGGAACCTGGGAGACTCCAGCGCAGCTCAGGCTGGCTCAGAGTTCAAGTAAAACACGAGGGGTACCTGAGGGTCATTCCCCCGTACAGGAAGGAGATCCAGAGCCAGCCCACCAGCAGGAACAGCAGCATGAGAGGGAAGGCGAAAATGAACCAGGAGCCGAAGTTCACCACATCGCACTGTGGGAAGAAACTGGAGAGAGGAGGGAGGTGAGAGCCAGCCGAGGTCAGCCACGCTGATGGATTATGTGTGTATATTACATGTGCTATTAAGTGATGTTGAAAGTACCTTATTTTCTGAGGGTTCTGTCATGTGCCTATATAATGCATAATCAGAATAAACTAATTAAATGTATTGCGGGGGGCAAAGACAAAGGGGGACACTCTGGGCAGCCATTTTCCCATCTCTCCAGGTTCTCAGCTAGAGAACCAGATCCCCTATTATTTTGTATCCTTTAAATCCCTCCTTCCAGACCAGAAGGTCCAAGCTTGTGCAATTAAATATTGCATATTATTTGCATGTAATTTGCAACTAATTTACTCAAAATCCTTGGAGTTTGGCAAATTTACTTATGTACCAGCATATTTCCCCCAATCCTTTTCAAGTTGGAACAAAGTCTTGCTCACACCAGGGTGGACAGGCAGCCTGAAGACCCTTTAACGGCAACTTTCCCCCATTTCTCTCCATTCCCCAACTCATGACCTGCCCCTGAGGCCTCTGGAGCCACATGTTTCCTGTCCAGCCCCAAGGACGGGCTGCAGCCCTAACACTGAACATCCTGCTTCATCCTCTAGCAGATGGTCCCTTTGCTCCCACTGCCTTCTAACTGAGAAGACTAAAGGGCCGAACCCAGCCGTCCTGCATCTGAAGGACGACCATCCTGGCTCTGATAACCAAGAGTTACCAGAAGACACAGGCACAGCCAGGCATTGCTCAAAGAATGGAGATGAAAAGACACCAGAAATATGCAGAGGGCTTAAAGGAACTGGGAAAATACTGATGCCTGGTGCCCATCCCACACCTCCTGAATCAGAATCTGCAACTGAGACCCAGGAATATATTTTTTTACCTTCCCTGGTAACTCCAACATGCACCCATGTGTGAGAATCACTGGTTTCTACCATCAAATCTTAAAATCAAAAGGTTCTAGAACTTGAGAAGATAAGAGAGGGTTGAGGTTTCAAAAGAAGTCCATGAGGGAAAACATGGGTATTCTTAAAATTTCTCATGAAAATAACTTTGATCACTCACAAGTATAGTGCTGAGTTATGTAAACCAAACCCTCTCTCAGGAAGACCAACATGGCCAGCTTTTCCTCCATCATCCTAATAACTTCTTGATATTTTGGTTGAGTACCAGATAAATTAGTTGGCCAGCACTTGGGAACATGTTGCCAAATGCTTACATTGGCATCATGTAGATTAGATGAACATATGATGCATCTCGCTGCAAAGGGATCTTAGAAACTCTACCTCTCAGAATCCTGGAATCTGAAAATCTTAGAATCTTGAAACGCTGGAATATTGTAAAATCATCAAACCAAGAGGCTTGAAATAACGCAATCAACAAGTCAGCCCACCTGAGAATCCTTCTCTGTTATTCTCACGCCCTGACAGATGGCCACCCAGACTCTGTTGGGACAGTTTCGGTGAAGGGAGACTTCAGCTCCTGACAGGGCCTGCTCCACTGCTGGCCTCCTCACCAGACATCACAGTGACAGGCCAGCGCTTCCCCTGGGGTTAGATTTTAAAGCAGGGGTCATAGCCACTCTTCTCTCTTACCTTTCTCCTGACCACCACCCATCTCACGGGAAGGAAAGCTGGGCTTCATGGCTGCCTTAGTCCAGGCTCTTCTTACCTGGCCCTCCCGCACTCCTCTTGGCCTCTGCGCGCCAGCTCGCTGGTCTTTGCGCCTTCGCCTTTGTGCGGGCCATCCTCTCTGTCTGCTACGCTCTTCCTTCCTGGGTCCGCAGAGGGCACTCCCTCACCTCTAGGCCTCCGCTCAAATGTTACCCTATTAAATGAAGTCCCACATCCCTGACCAGCCTATAAAAAATTACATTCATCCTGTCTATTCCATCTCCCTAGCCTGCTTTATTTTATTTCATAACTTATCACACCAACCTACTCTTTCTTCGTTTGCTTTTTCCTCTATTGCTTGTCTCCCCCACCGGAATGGAAGTTTCCCCAGAGCAGGGACTTTGCTGGGTTTTGTATGTTACTGGGTCTCCCGAGCCTGGCCAAGAAAAGGCACTCAAAACACATTCCCCTAGTGTTGAATTAAGCAGGGGGCCCAGGGAGAAGGAGCAGAAACCCCAGTGCCAGGTGAGGACACTTGCTTTTACCTTTTGAGCTGGCCAAGCAGGATGAGGTTGGGGGCCGTGCCTGTGAGGGTGGCAGTGCCCCCGATGCTGGCTGAGTAGGGAATGGAGATGAGGAAGCCCTTCCAGATGTTCTTGCGGTATTCTTCTTCCTTCCTGGAGTCTGCCAGGAGATCCAGTGGAGCCTCCGCCTCCTCAGAGCAGCCTTTGCTTTAAACAAACCCAAAGAGAAGCCATTCGGAAGACATTCAGGATTCCTGGCCTCATAGGGAAATGCACGGCTTGGGCCAAGCTAAGTGGTCTTTCTGGAAGGCCTTTGGCACAGGCATCGGAAACCTCCAAAAATGAGCAACCCCACTCCCTGCTGCTCCATCACTATTAAATCGAGATAACAATGCCCTCAATAACAAGTGCTACCACCCACACATGTAGGGTCTGGCAACCTGCTTCATCGACATTATCTCATTTAATCTCAAATAATCCTGGTGGTGGGCTCCAATAGTATGTCCAGTTGGCAGGTGAAATTAATTTGAGGCTCAGAAAGGTTGAGTGACTTGTCCAAGTCACACAGCTGGTAAGCAGCAGTGCCAGGGCTCAAAGGTAGGGCTGCATGGCTCCAAAGGCCAAAATCTTAACTACACTGCCACATACAAAGGACACCAAAGACTAACTGTGTCGTCCATGTGCAGATGCTTCCTAAGTGTGAAAGATGGCTATTGTCTCATAGGACACTTTTGTCTTTAGAGCCTCTGGACGCCTGTCGGCACACCTCTGCTCCTTGACTATCGTGTACTTCATGTGCTCCTGGTCTTCCTGTCCCTCCTTTCCCTTCACCTCACCAGGATTTAATGCACTCCCCTGCCCTTTCCACATCTGCGTTGTTTGAAGAGGCTGTGTTAGTTCATGTCTAAGCCAAGCGGATGAATGGTGGAAACTTGGGTCATCTAGAGGAAAATTTGGAAATGGGAGGGGGATTGCCTGCAGCATTAAATTCTTGCACATCATCTCTTTGGATCGAGCACTGGCTCCTCTATGAATTGCACCAGGAACTCACTCTTCTGTGCTGGCAAGAAACTGCATCTCCGTGGGTACCGCGTGCAAACCGTTTCCCCGCACAGCAGCTAGGGGGAAAGAGCAGGGTGTCTCAGTGTGCTGCGATGAATGGGCCAGGAGTGTTCCCACTCTTGGGTAGTCAACCAAGAGTGCTTCTTTAGGTTCCCCTTCTATACTATTCATGGAATAATTTTTTTTTAAGTCCTCAAAATCCCATCCTACTGGGAGATGGCCCCAGGCCTATGGACAGGTTGTTAGCTGCAAGGCTGCTTGACAACCCCTAACTCAAGCCTAGACTTGCCTGAGGGGCCACTGCCAAAGGGGTGTTTGGGAAAGACTAGGTATAAGTGGTAATGGATGAGCCATGGGAAGGGTAACCCCAATCTCCCATTCATTCATACTTTCATTCAAAAAGTATTTATTGAGCACCTACTATGTACTGTTGACTATGAGCTTGGTGTACACATTGAATAATATAGAATAAGGTCCCTGCTCTCATGAAGGTTATATTTTAGAAGGAAAGACAGATGCTAAAACATAAAGAAAATTTCAGGTAGAGATGAAAGTGATGGAGGAATTAAAACTGGGTGATGTGATGGAAAGTGATTGTACAGTGGGTGGGGGAGAAGGTAGACTACTGTGTTTAGGTCAACAGGGAAGACACCATGAGCTGATGGCATATGATCTGAGGCCTCGAGGATATAAAAGAGCCAGCCACATGGAGAGCTACGGAAAGGGATTTCCAGGCAACAGGAACAGCAAGTGCCAGGGCCCTGAGGTGAGAGTGTGTCTGGTGTGTTGGGAAGCAGAAGGGAGACCAGTGGGACTAGAGGGGATTGGGAAATGGGAAGAGTAACAGGGGGTAAGATGAGAGAAGCTGGGGATAGGGGGGTGGGGCAGAAAGCCAGCAGGATCATGCAGAGGTCCTGGGGCCCACAGTAAGGACTTTGGCTTCTCCTCTGAGTCAGATGGGAGCAGAGCTGGGGGAGTGTTTCAGCAGAGGAAGGTCAGGACAGGACCTGAGTTCTTTTTAAAAGTATTTACCTTCCTTGACAGGTCAGTCTCCCCAGAAGCCTTTGATAGTATTTTGAACAAGAAAAATTGAAGGGATTAAAAATTCCTGCAGCTGAAACCCTCACCAAGGGCAAAGAACCCATCCCTGGACATTGGGTGTATGACTGATAGCTGAACACATAGGTTCTGGGTTCAAATCATATCTCCATCACTTATGATGTGACTTGAGATAAGTGGTTCCCATCCTTAGCCTATTCAACCTCCAAGGGACATTGGGCAATGTCTGGAGACATTTTTGGTTGTCACAGCTAGTGTGGAGGTGGGGGGAGTGCTATGGCATCTAGAGGGTAGAGGCCAGGATTGCTCTAAACAGCCTGCAATACACAAGTCAGCCCCCCACAACAAAGCATTAATTACCTGAAAATGTCAATAGTACTTAAGTTGAGAAACTCTGGTTTAGGTAAACCCCTTAAACTCCTTGTACCTCAGTTCTTTAATTCATAAAATGGAAGTAATAATTGTCCTAGGATTGTCAAGAGGATTGTGAAGTGGACCCATTTGCAATAGATTGAATGTTTACATGCCTTTGCCTCCCAAATTCATATGTTGAAACCTAATCCCCAGTATGGTGGTGTCAGGAGGTGGGGTCTTTGGGAAGAGATTAGGTCATGAGGGAAGAGCCCTCGCGAACGGGATTAGTGCCCTTACAAGAGAGCCCTCTCGCCTCTTCCACAGTGTGAGGACAGAGTGAGGAGCCAGATGTCTATGAACCAGGAAACGGCCCTCACCAGACGTCCAATCTTCAGGCACCTTGATCTTCGACTGCCCAGCCTCCAGAACTGTGAGAAACAAATACTCAGCCTGAACAGACTAAGACACCATGTAAAGCAGGGACCAGCACACTTCTTTTGCAAAGGCCACAATAGTAAAGATTTTGGTCTTTGGGAGCCATATGGTCTCTGTCATAAGTACTCAACTCTGCCATGATATCATTCATGAAAGGAGCCACAGACGATACATCAGTGAGTAAGTGTGGCCAAACCTGTATTTCTGGACGCTGAAATCTGAATTTCACATCATTTTTACATGTCACAAAATACTCTTCTTTTGATTTATTCAACCATTTAGAAATATAAAAACTATGCTTAGCAAACAGGCTACACAAAAAAGCAGGCAAGGAGTGGGCTAGATTTGCTGGGCTGAAGTTTGCCAACCCCAATTTAAAGAATTGAACAGAAATCTGAGCACTAGCCAGGATTTAGTAGATGTGGGTTACTCCTGACAAGGAATAAAACAGCATCTCCTGACATATGAGGCTGGCCTGACCCAGATACGCCATATCGTTCATTTGTTGGAACTAAATGATCTTACACATTATTTGCCTCACACAAAGTTGCTCTGAGACTGATAAAATGAGACAATTCAGAAAGGACACTTCAAATCTGGTCCAAGTTCAAAGTCACTTACCACCCACAAATTGCCAAGTGTCCCCCTCTTGCCAACCGAATGGCTGCTGCTTTTTGGCCTAATGGTAGCACTGTTCCCAAGTTTGGACAGCACCCAGTCTAGAGCAAACCCTGCTTCCTCAGACTGCCCCAAATGCCCCAGCCAAAGCCCAAATACCACGAGAGGTCCTTTCTAACACCCTCTGAACGAGAAGATCATGGTTGCCCATGGCATGTGCCTGAGGATCTTTGGCCACAGGGACTGGGAGGCAGTGTCTGGACTCCAGCCTGAGCTCTTGCCCTGTTCCTCCCAGTGGCTTGGGGAAGTCCCTCCCCTTCCCCTCTCTGTGCTGCCCCTTCCCTATTGGTTTCAGGAGGGAGCAGGATTTCGTGGTAGCTGACTGTGTCATGTCTGCCAGCCCAGAAGCTGGCCCTGCTAACCACCATGAGGGAGCTGAAGGCTAACTGCAGATCTGCTTGCCCGGGTCATGGGGATGGGGGCCTCCAGGGACAGGAACACATGTCCACATGCAATGCACGAGGCTGGAGGCCAGGGCACTGAAGCAGGAAATGAGGGCTGTTAATAGGACACTGATGCTGGGGGGCAAAGTCACTCCCCAGGGGATGGCCAGGGGGAAGAACTCTGACCTGGCAGCCCCTGACCCCACCCATCCCTAGTTCACTCTGTACCCTTCCCACCTGGGTTAGGACCACAGCTGTCACACATCATCAGATGGTCAGCAGACCTCCCCAGCATCTCAGGCATAACTCAAGGCCACTCTACAGCACTGGACAGACACAGAACTTCCTGGGGGTGCCCAGGCCCCACCCTAGAGATTCTGGTTTACTGTCTGGGGAGTAGGACCTGGGCCTCAGTATTTTCGAAAAGCTTGCAGGTGATTCTTTTGTTCAGCCAGGGTTGAGATGTGCCTGAAGGTACCGATGGGGAAGTGTAGCCTCCGTGGCTGCCCAGGCAGAGGTGCGCATGCTCATCAGTCTGCCACGGTCCCTACCTGGCTCCTGTCGCTCATCCATAGAACCTGGTTGCTGCCAGCAACTGAGCTGGAGAGCCTGGATGTAAGACTGTGTACATTCTCTTGATGAGGCAGGGGAGGAAATTTGTATACACACAACTATGAACAGCAATTACTGGCAGCATATAAGACTTAGGAAGGAAGGAGTTTTACTTCTTTATGCAGGTTGGTAATATGAAAACATTTTATACCAAGCATTATTTTTCTAATAATGATGATGATAATAAAGCCAATGAAGGTGAAGTTGAAAAAAAATGGGAAAACTGAGGTACTGAATGCTCTTAACCATCTACCCAGGGCCCACCCTTGTGGCTCCTGTGGCCACAGTGATCCAAGTGACCGTGCAAAAAAAGCCGGTGGGGCAAAGTCTCCAAAGGTGCTGACGTCCTTGGGTCCAGAAATCTCTGGCTGGTTAGGAGCTTGGTGCTTATGTAAGGTCTTATTCAAATAATACCAATCCCTGAATTTGTGTCAGGTGGGGGACTGAGAACTGGCACATTTCTAATCTTAAAGCAGCCTTGGAACTGCCTGGGAGAGCTAGGCAGGGATGATTACCTTCCTCTCTACACCTGGGGGGACTGAGGCCCAGAGAGGTTCCAGTCTGGATCAAGGTGCCCCAGCAGGTTGGTGGTAGAGTCAGGCTTGGTCCCAGGACTGTTGATTCCCCACACCTTGTATCTCACATTGCCTCCAAAGGCACCCACCTGACTCTTAACAGGTTTGCCCCCGAACTGCTAAATCTAGTCTAACCTCCCCACTATGACTAAAATATTCTTGAAGTTTGGCACACAGAAGGCTCTTGGGAGAAAGTTCTTGTATCAGATTAGGTAAAGAGCACCCCAGGGGAGGTGAAAGTTACCCAGGCTAGGCAGGTTGACATCCACTGATTAATCTAGCACTCACAACAACCTGGGTGGTAGGTATTAATATCCCCATTTCATGTATGAGGAAACTGAGGCTTAGATCAGTTAAGTAACTGGTCGATTTACTCATTTATTCATTAATTCCACACAGTTATTGAACACCTACTACATGCCAAGCAGTGTTCTAGGTGACAAGACTGCACCACTGTAGGTCATAGCAATGGGAAAGATTGATACAAGCCCCCATGGAGCCTGGAGTCCACAGAGGAGATGGACATAATATATATATTATTTATATAATAAATAAATGCCTCTCAACTAGGAAACTTTACCATGCATCAACTTTCATAGGAAACTAAATGGGCACCAATGTGTGGGGTCTTATTACCTGCTCCTCCTCATTCCTGGAAATCTTGTAATGGTTTTTATACAACTGCCACATGTTAACTACATCCTATGTGCCAGGATCTCATTTCTCACATAAGCTTCATGATAATATATGTGAAAGGAATGAGGTTCTGTCCTCATTTCATAGATGAGAAAAGAGCCTCAGAAGGAGGTCCCTCATGAATTAAGAGTGAAGGAGGATGGCAATGTTTAACCCCACCTAAAAGACTGCATTTTGAGTGATGGCATCTTGAGCATTCCTAAAGGGCAGACATGGGTGACAAGCTAGCCTTCTTCAGGCCGAGAAAAGAAGGGGAAAGAGTGGTAGAGTTTAGATTAAAAGCCAGATGGGACTCTTACTGGCTGAGGGACATTGGGCAGCTACTTCACCACTTTAAGCATCAGTTTCCTCCTCTGTAAAATGGGCATGATGATAGGGCCACCCCTTCAGGGCTATGGTGGAGAATCGAATGAGAACATGCATGTAGAAGGCACCGAAGAGGCCACCATCCACCTGGCCCCTTGGTCCCCCAGGCAGTGTAAGAGGTAGAGTGGGTAAAGAAACTGAAAGCCCAAGCTTGCGGAACGCTGGGTCACATCCCGCGAGCCCCACCCTACCCCAGGCCCTGTCTCACTGGAGCATGGTACTTACGAGCACAGATTCCAGATTCAGACAGAGCTCAGCAACTAACTCACTTTGTTGCTTAGGAAAATCATTTTGCCTCTCTCAGCCTGTTTGCTCGTCTATAAAATGGGGATCATCCACCTCATAGTACTGCAATGAAGATTAAATGAGCCAATGGGTATGAAAAATTAAGCAGTGTCTGGCATATGGGTGCCTGTTACGGACTGAAAACCCCCAGGGGCCTCCTCATCCCTGTCCTGGACCATTAACAGAATCCCTACTCCCTCCACCCCTGTCATCACCTCCCACCTCCAGGACAGAGCACAGAAACTGGATGAAAGGGAACATCTCTCTTTGTACTGGAATTAGCCTTGTTTTAGTTCTTAGGGCTGATCATTAACCAGTCCCTGCTCTCTGATCCCACCGCCTGTAAAAGTAGGTATCTGCTCCCCAGGGTCTCCCACCTCCTGACATCTTGCAGCATAAGGGAAAAGACTGGATTTCACCTTGTGACCAGTACTGTGTGTGACCTTGGGCAAGTCCCTTCCCCTTCTGGATCTCAGATTTCTCATCACTATAGTGAAAGACTTGGCTTTCAAACTTTTTTTTTTAGCCACTACACTAAAAAAGAACCTTCTGCAGCTGGCAGAATAACAGAGGTTAAGAGTGCAGGCTCTGAAGTCAGCCAGCCCTGGATTCACAGGACCAGAGCCACTGTTTGGAAACGACAAGACTTGTGGGGGCGGGGGGCCACTTTAGCCTCTTTCTTTATTTCTTCCTCAAATTCCATTCTGCTAAATGAGGTCAGACCTCATTCAGATGGAAGGCCCTAAGAAGAGTCCTTGAATTAAGTAAGTGCTCAATAAACAGTTGTGATGCTTGCTTGGCAGCCCAGTGTGTAATATAAAGTAGGAGCAGCTGGGGTTGAAATGAGAGAAGGAGAAGGGTCTTAACTGCTTGCTGCAACTCCAGGGTGACAGGGAGATGGTCTTGGGAACCCCCAAGACTCAGGGGAAACAGAAAACCAAAGAAGCTGACCCTGCAGAGTAGGGGTGAGCAAATATGGCTCACGGGCTGAACCTGGCTCCCCACCTGCCAACTAGAGGAATATTTCGTGATGTAAAAACTATATAAAATTTTAATTTCAGCACCCACAAATAAAATTTCCCTAGAACATAGCCACACCCTCTCATTTACATATTGTCTCTGGATCTTTTCTGTCTGGGAGGGCTGAGTTTGAGTAATTGTGACTGTAAAGCATGAAATATTTACTATCTGGTCATTTACAGAAAAAGTTTGCCAACCTTGCTGTAGAATCTCTTCCTTTTTTTGTGGGAGACTTTGACCTTGCATAGATCCTGGCTTTGCTACTTGACCAACAATGGGATTGATTCTGAATGTACCACTTCACCTTTCTGAACCTTGTCTTCAAAGTACTTTCTAGCTTTCAGGGCAGATGTGGAAATAAAATAAGCAAGATCCCTTATTGCATTATGGGGAAATGCCCATACCACAGTAAATAAGATTAACTTAGATGGTTCGTTGATCAGTATTTAGATTTTTAACAGATATATATTTATTTTAGTACATATTTGAAAAAATATAACGAGCAGACAAAGTCCATGGTTTCGTGGATAATGTTTGTTGATTTAGTTGGGATAAATGATTCAAAGCTACCAGGGATGATCTGTCATCCATCTCTCAACAGGCAGCTTCCACCTCTGGGTGCTGGGTAGCATCAACTGCCCCATTAACATTCCAGCCAGAGAAGGAGACAGCAGGAAGGGCAGAATCTGAAAGCTGCACACATCATTCCTGCTCATGTACCATTGGCCAAACTTAGTCACATGACTACATCTAATTGCAAGGGAAGCTGGGAAATTCAGCTTTTTCTCTATGTAGACATGGGCCCACATGGGAGTTCTATTACTAAAAAAAAACAGAGAAAGACTCAGTACTGGTGATAAAATTGCAGTCTCTGACCATATATGTACCAATTTAAAGCTTCTTTTAAAAATACACCTATGTCACCATCCAAAAGACAAACAACAGCAAATGTTGGCGAGGTTGTGGAGAAAGGGGAACCCTCCTACGCTGCTGGTGGGAATGCAGATTAGTTCAACCATAGTGGAAAGCAGTATGGAGGTTCCTCAAAAAGCTCAAAACAGAAACACCATTTGACCCAGGAATTCCACTTCTAGGAACTTAGCCTAAGAATGCAGCACTCCAGTTTGAAAAAGACAGGTGCACCCCTATGTTTATCACTGCACTATTTACAATAGCCAAGAAATGGAAGCAACCTAAATGTCCATCAGTAGATGAATGGATAAAGAAGATGTGGTACATATACACAGTGGAATATTACTCAGCCATAAGAAAAAAACAGATCCTACCATTTGCAACAACATGGATGGAGATAGAGGGTATTATGCTCAGTGAAATAAGCCAGGCAGAGAAAGACAAGTACCAAATGATTTCACTCATACGTGGAGTATAAGAATAAAGAAAAACTGAAGGAACAAAGCAGCAGCAGAATCACAGAACCCAAGAATAGACTAACGGTTACCAAAGGGAAAGGGACTGGGGAGGAAGGGTGGGAAGGGAGGGATAAGGGCAGGGGAAAAGAAAGGGGGCCTTACGATTAGCATGTATAATGTTGGGGGGTGGCATAGGGAGGGATGTCAACACAGAGAAGACAAGTAGTGAGTCTACAGCATCTTACTATGCTGATGGACAGAGACTGTAATGGGGTTTGTGGGAGGGACTTGGTGAAGGGGGGAGTCTAGTAACCATAATGTTCTTCATGTAATTGTAGATTAATGATAATAAAATGAATAAAAAAAATACACCTATGTCAATAAAAAGAAAGATGTTTTAAAGCAGACAGGATGTGACAGCCACTTTGCAACCAATAGGGAAAGACCAGAAGAATCAGAGATGCTAATGAACAGTCCTGATATCTTTGTACCTCTGAGTTAATCCTAGAACTGCCTTTCTCTGACTTTTTGATATTTGAACCCTTTTAACCATTTGCAGACAGAAGACATTTTTTACTGTAGTCAAAAGAATTCTCACAGAAGCAACTGGTTTCATGGGTAAGAGACTGGGCTTTGAAGCCAGACTGCCTGAGTGAAAAGTTGGGTTCAGCCATTTGTCGGCTATATGACTTGGGGAAGTCTCTTTCCCTCTCTGAGCCTTTGTTTGGTCACCTAAAACCACAGCAGCTCCTTGTGCTTTATTTTGTTTAGAATACACTTTCACAGGGTTGGGCGAATGAAATCCCTCAGTTCATGGCACATTCTCACTACTTGTAGCATAAAGCCCCTCTTTTGTTGTATGTATTTAGTGCCTTTGATCCTCATTTCCCACTCCTATCCTTCCCAGAGCAACCATTCTGATGAGTTTAATGTGTAGCCTTTCATTAGTTTATGTTTTTGCAAAATGTTTGGTCACTTGTGTTTATTTTTGATTTACATAATGCTACTGTGTTCTATATCTCATTCTGGCCTTTTTTTCCAATCACACTGTTGTGAGATCCATTCATATAACTGTATGTCCCCCTAATTCTTTAATCCTAAAAGTAGCAAAATGCTTAATGGTGCTCTCCTTACCTTCCCCTTTATAAGTGATGGTGTTCCTGTGGCTACCAACGTGCCACACCACAGAGAATGGTCAGTGAGCATCATTACATGTGTGCCCTCATGGACCTGTGTCAGAATTCCTTTGGCATTTGTATCCAGGAGCAAAACTGATGGGTTACAGGGTATATGCACATGTGACTTCACTAAATATTTGCTGAATGCCCTTAAGAAAGGCTGACCCAGTCCACACTGGCAGGGCACCAGAGTTCCCAGGGCCCCCATGGCTGCTAGCCCTGGGTGTTGTCCAGCTTTCTTATTTTTGCCAGCTTTATTGAAGTAAATCTCATTGTTTCAATTCGCATTTCTCTGGATACTAGTGATTTTGAGCAGTTCTTCAAATGCTTTTAAACAAGGTTTAAGAGTGGTACCTACTTCTAAGGCTGTTTTGAGATAAGGGAAATAATGTATGTAAGGTATTTAACTCATTGTTTAGTACACAGTAAGCTCTCAATAAATGCAAATCAAAAAACAAACAAACAAGATACCGTAGTTTGACTTCGCTAATTCTCAGCTATTGCTATCATTACTGACATAGTTGGCACATAGTAGGTGCTCAGTAAGTACATTCCCTACATCTTCCCCCCACCCCTTGGACACCCTCACTCCCACTCTCCACACTGGCAGCCGGGCTCCCAGCTCATCCCATAGCCTCACCTGTACTCTCTTCACACTCCCTGCTGAGGTCCTTCTGAGCCTCCTTCTGGCCAAAGAGGCTCTTCAGGATGGCATTGCCAATAGGCAGCATCATGGCAGTAGAGGCGGTGTTGCTCAGCCACATGGACAGGAAGGAGGTGGTCACCATCATCCCCAGGATTAGCCTGGGGACAGAGAGAGTTAGGGGCAGATCCAGAACC